ATATAAATCTTTTGTCATGTTTAAAAAATAAAATCTGAATTACTCTAAAATCATCCTTATCCATATATAGGAAACTTTTAAAATGTTATCCAAATGATAGATAAAACTCATTTCTAATGAATTGATTAGTATAAATATTGAAATTTTTGGTCAAAATGTTATTACTATTTGTTTAAAATTGTTTAGATTTTTATTATTTTCTACTCAAACTGTCAAAAAAATTATTAGTGTTAATTGATATTTCAAAAATATTTTTAAGTTACTTTATATCTGCACAAATTTATTTAGTATACTCTTCAAAAATTTTATTCACAAATATTTATATATATCAAAAATTTTCATGAGTTGAAGAGGAAAATGGATATAGATATTATTGAAGATTGACCGAATCAGGAACATGTCATTTTCGTGGCTACAATTTCGGGAACCCAATCCAGTCGATCGGTGTCATTTTTTGAGCTATTTGTCATTTTCGTGGCTACAATTTCGGGAACCCAATCCAGTCGATCGGTGTCATTTTTTGAGCTATTTCTTATCTTACTTTTTCTTTTTTTATATTTAAAAATAAATTGTAAGTATACTTGAATCAGAAACCTAAAAACCTAAAATCACCCTCCCTATAACATACATACTGATTAATCTAAATATCAAACCGTACTCTCCCTTATGTTCTCTATAGTTTGGGTGAGCCGATCAATAAAAATATTTTGTAATAATTATTTTATGACATCACATCCTAGTCAAATCGAATTTCTGTATAAAATTTTTAAAATGATACTAATTTTGAAATGAATCTAGTGTAATTTATTATCAATTATGCACCACACGAGTTGTGTACTAATTTTAAATAGACATTTTATGTAATTTTGCACAAGTTAAAGTTCATATAACATTTTTAATGAATTAGTATAGGGTGCAATCGTATTAAATCAGTTTACCATATTTGCACAACTAATAAATAAATAATAACTGAATTCAGAAATTAGTCAATTAATCTCATTTGGGTACGTGAGTCCTTTATTAATAACTAATCTATTAATATATAAAAAGGCAATGATATTTACTTGAAATAGTAACTAAAAATCAATAAAAAAAAGATTTGGTTTCCCGCCTAAAAATTCAGATTTACTAAAATGGGTAATTTTTTTGGCTAGAATTTCAAAAATCCCGGCTAAATTAATGTAATTAATGTACAGAATCCTTAAATTTGGTATATAATATATTGAAAAAAAATTATTTAAAATAAAAAATAAAAAATAAAATTATTCATAACTAACGGGTCAAGTTTAACTTGACATAAACGAAGTAGTCAATAGTTTATAATTTAATAGATTACTCAGTAACTTACATGTCAATATTACCTTGAGCATAAACAAAATAGTCAATTATTTATAGTTTAATAAATTAATCAACTACTTAATTTTTTTTATTTGAATAGTTTATACAAAAATAAACTATTTTAAGTAATGAAACAATATAAATCTTATATTTATACTTATTATTCACATAGGTTGTTGAATATATGATAAATTTTTACCAAAATAACTATTTTATGGAATCACATTATAGTCAAATTGAATTTCTGAATAATTTTTTTTGAAATGATACTTTTTTTTTAAACAAATATGATGTAATTTATTATCAGTTATGTGCACCGCACGGGTTGTGTAATAATTTTAAATAGATATTTTTATGTAATTTTACATAATTTAAACTTTATATAACATTTTCAATAAATTCATATAGGTAAATTATATTACATATTGATTTCATATTTTTAATTTATAAATATTAATAAATATTATCTTACCCGTGCACTGCACGAGACTCATACTAGTAATATAATAAAATCATTATCAATAACAAATAAATATTGGATTTTTTAGATTAACCCAGCTAAGACTTTGACTTGTTAAGATTATATTTATGACAAGAACGGATAAACTATGTTCCTCTTTTTTTGCTTTGNTTTTTCTTTTTTTTTTTTTTAAAAAAATATTTTTAGAAATTTTAAGGGCTTATTATGATTATAAATGTTTGCAGGGGTTTGAACGATTCGAATTCGCTTGCCTTGCTTAGGTTCTTGAGGCCCACTTGCACGCTGAGGGTAAATGAGCTGATGCCCATTATCTCAAATAAATTTGTTGAAATTTTATTTTAACTGTCTAATCAACTAATTTTACAAACACATTTATCATATCAATTCAGACAAAGTTATCAGCATCAGATTTATCATATTAGTTTTAATTTTTTTTGTAAAAATTATGTGGATGTGTCGTGTTAGCTATATAGCTATATAGTAAAAATTGTGACATTTTTTGGAAATGTGACATTATTTTAGTACATTTTTCAAAATGTGTCGCTATATAGCTAAACACGACGATACTTTTGTGACATTTTTAATAAGTGTAAGTAAAATTGATGTGTTTGGGATGTTTTTTAAAAAGCGTTGTAAAGATAAAATTATACCAACACTTTTTTAGTAATGTAATCAAATTATGTCACTTTCTAGAGAGTGTCACAATTTTAACCAATATTGAGATATTTATTTAAAAGTATAATTAAATCATGACGTTTTCTACAAAAGTGTCGTCGTGTTTAGTTATATAGCGACACATTTTGAAAAATGTACTAAAATAATGTCACATTTCCAAAAAATGTCACAATTTTTACTAATATGACAACATTTATCTAAAAATGTAATTACGTTATGACACTTATACAATTATATCGCTATTTTTAAGCATGCAACTAACACTTAAGAAAAGCGTAACTATTTTGTTAGTGACATTATTAAACAAGCGTCACATTATTTTACAGTCACTTAAGAAAAGAGCTTACAAAAAGTGTTTTTCTTTTCCAAATGTTTCCCAACGTTTTTTCTTCTTCACTTTTCTGCTTTTGATGACAGATCAAACAATCATTCACTCTCCCTCCCATCTTCTAAACCCTCTCTCTTTTTCTATCCCCAAATTTCACGCACCGTTTTCAGCCCGTAAACAAACCCTAGATTAGCCCCACCATCACCAGCATCAGCTCAGCCCTACGCCACCCATGTAGAGAGACGGCAGCTCCCCTGATCCAATTTCGATCACACCCCCAACCTCCAAAATCCAGATATCACACCAGTCACAAATAGCTCCACCACTGTGAAATAATTCGCCATCGACGGTGGTAGTCTTTTGCTGATGTAAAAATCGGCGCACGTGGATCCACCACGTAGATGATGTGTCTGCCCTGGCCGTCAGCAGAAATTGTTCCCTCTTCACGGTCTGTGGGCTTGACCCCTCGCCTCAGGTTTGTTGATTTTGTGTGGTTCATTGGTTCTATGTATTTTGTTATTGCAGTAGTTTTTTTTTTTCATTTACTTATTAAATTATTTTGTGAAGATTTTAGGCAGAATTTATTGTTGCTGAAGGAAGTAATTTGGTGACGTCAATTTTATAATTGGTGTTTGAAGGTTCTGTATTTGAGACTGGTTTCTGGAGAATGTTTTACTGCAAGTTAAAAGCCTTAGATTGTCGTTGTAATAATTTGTGGGTTTTGGAGGCAGTAAAAGAGAATTTAAGGTGGTTAGGGAGGCAAATCATGGCAATTCCAACAAAAGTACCTTAGCAAAGTAACTGTTAAAATGTAGGGCAATTTTTACATAATATCATTCAAGCATCACAATCTATATGCTGTGTTAGATGAATGTGAGTGTCAGGGTAATACAAACTCTTAAGGTTATTAAATTTAGGAATATTTTAGGAAACTGTGGAATGTGGAGGAGAGAATCAATTTCCTATTATACAAAACAAAACAATGGAAAAAAAAATGAGAAATCAATGCATAACACATTAACACTATGATTTTTGCTATAATAGATGTTTCTAAAGACTATGTCAGTGCCAATGAGAAATCAAGCATCTCTTTGTTTCTTCTTGGGATAAGGTTCGGCTCATGCTTTCATTGAGTAGTAGCGTATTTGGTTTTTCCGATTTCGGATCCGCGATTCATATTTTACTTTCTTTAAAACTATGAGTGTTATCCTATCAACCAAATTTATTTGGTTTTGTGTTCGTTTGGACTTTTGAAGTGTTTTCTTTTTATGTTTCATTGTTGACTAGAATTATTTTGGCTTGTTTATGGAATTTCTGTTGAAAATAACATTTTTTTACTTTCACATGAACTTGTTCGAAAGTCTTCACAAATTTTCACCCAAGTGTAGTCATGGGCCTCACCGATGATACACATATACTATGCCATTAAAGTTTTGAGACAGTCTGTGGTGGATGAAGGGGTCTGTGTTGTGTTGAGAGTGAGTTAAACTGTGCTAACAGACTTGATTAGGCTAGATGCAAGACTTAGATTAAAAATATAAATAGGAAGAAGAAATGTTCGATTATTTAAATTTAACATTAGCTTCTCGTTTATGTATGGGTCAGGTTCATTAGATGTGCTATGGTTTGGATCACTGGACTAGAGGAAGTGCAATTTTATCTTTGTTTTTACCTTCAGGGATTGATTGGGCAGTATGCAGTACCCCTTCTTGAAGAGAAATCTGTTTAGGGCACCACAGTTTCTACAATAATAGCATACATGGACACCCAGGTAAAATGATGTGGATTGTTATGCTCTTGATATCAAAATGTGCGAGAAAATAAGGAAAAATCTGTGCTTGGCACTCTACTGATGCTTAGAGTCCCAACATGTACATGTTTATCAGGATATCACCCGATTAACATTTATAGCTCTGCGCAATGAGAATATCACTGGAAAACTTCTCACATTTGCTGGACGTCGTGTCTGGACTACCCAAGAGGTAACAGGAAGTGTTGAAAGTTTAAAGAACATGCCACTTTGTTCTTAAAATTATTTTGCAATCTTTTTGTACTTTGTACTCTATATACTCAGAGTTATGCTCTTTCTTTCCCATAAAACTCGTGACCATGCATGCTTACGGAGGATTATAGCGTTTCATTTCGGTTTGATAGACATTAGGGGAAGTTGACCACTGCCTGTAAAATTGAAATGGAATGATTCATAGAGCAAAGTTTGCTAAGAAACCTTTTTCTAGCTAATGCATAACTACTCTGAAGCAAGTTCTTGTCACACTTAGAATCATCCACTAACTTGGAAACAATATATACTTCTTTTAGGTAGTAAACTCACTTAAGATTAGGTAAAAGTTTTTTAGTAGATAAATTTGTAGCAACTTATAATATTCTTCTAGTGAGATGACATGCTCAAGATGTGAAATTTACTCAGATGAGTTAAAAAAGTTTTCATAAGTCAAAAGGCTACAATCCTACCTCAACTTTAATTTAGAAAGTTCAGTTTGAAATTAAATGTGTCTTGGTTATATGTAATAACCTTGTGTGAAAGGCTTGCTGGTGAAGATGCAAATGTCGCCACTGTCCCCGTCTCCATTTTGAGATTTACTTAACAGCTGACTCATCTATTTGAATGGACCAACGACGTTATTGATAGATTGGTATTCTCAGAGGTACAACCTTTTTTCATTCGTTATCATCGATACTCGTGATATGTACGATTCCAATCATCATGATTTTACATGCTGGAGATGTTTTTGCCGGTGATGCCAGTCGATATAGTTACATTCATGCGGTTATTCAGATTCTTGAAATTTTGATGTTGTAGTTATCATAACGAAAAGGAATTTCCTTTGGTTTCTTTCATAGGTTCTTACAAGTATTTTGTTCTCTCGGCCACAATGGACAAGACGTACAATGTGTTTGGCGTGGAAGCGAAGGATAATAGTTCCCTAGAGAAATATCTGCACGATTATTCAAAATTGTTTTATTAGACAATGATGTGGTTTCTTTTTATTATGTATTGGAATTTCAACATTTTATTTATTTTGTATCTTTAGTGTGGATATTATCATTGTTCAGTTTTATTATATTAACTTTTATTTCACTGTGGAATCTCTCTCTTGTATGTAGATGAAAATTATTATATGTGTAACTAATTTGACACAAAATTATTGCCAATTTCATAATAACGATGCATGAATTTGTGTCACCAAAATTTATAAGGACACTTAAAAAAGTGTAATGAATTGAAAATTGCCAACAATACAATTTTGTGTCACAATAATCCATATTAATGACGCTATAGAAAAAGCGTTTATGACGCTAAAATTATATGTCACAACTCGTAATAATAACGACATGCTCAAAAAAGAGTCACCCAATGAAAGTTCTTTACAGTAATATATTGTGTCACTAAATTATGTACTAACGACGCACTTTTGAAAAAGTGTTGCGCATTAAAGATTACTTACGCATCTAGGTTGCGTCACCAATAAATTCGTGACATCAAATTTAGCAACACAACTCGTGACACTTTTGCAAGTGTGGGTAAATTTATTTGTGACACTAATAAATGTCACAAAATAAAATTTCGCGGCCGGACACGTTAAATTCTAGCAAAAATTAAACTTATTTTGCTCAATTTTATAAAAAATGAAATGCATATTTTAATTTACTAGTTTATATAAAAACTGTGCCCCTTCTCCAAATATTGTGTTAGAGGTGTTTTTATCTACAGGAAAAGATAGCCAATGTTATCCACTTGCCAAAAATATTAAGTATAATTTTACGAAAATTTCTAAATGACGATATTTGTTTTGCACCTTATCAGTGTCTTCCTTTTTTTTTTTTTGGNATCATTTTCTTTTATTTTAGAACTTATCATCACATATTGAGAATAAATACAAATGAATTTCTATCCTATCATCTCTTTCTTTTATTGTATGGAAAAACTACCCTTTTTCTTGAAAAAATAAACCACGTTACCTTATCAAAATGCACATAGTATAATCCAAATTTATGAAAATAGTTTTAAATAATTATCAAAATCACAAAAATATATCGCATTAGAAATTTAGAAAGATAAAACAAACGAGATGGTTTATTGACTCCCTACACGAATTACTGATTTGAAAAGTAAATCAAAATGCACATAGTATATATTTTAAAAGTAAAATCAGAATACACATATTAGTAAAACATTAATATAACGAATAGTATTTCTATATTAGGATATGTAATTTATGATATTAGCTTGTGATTTGTGAAGCTTCAACTATTTTGAAGTAATATCCCACATCGGATATCTAAGAGAGCAGCTCAGAAGGGGCCTCAATAAAAGGACTACTAAACCTAACTTTAAAAACCATGATCCTTCAGGCAAGTTTAAAGGGGAAGTGATGAGTGGTATTTACTCGCAAAATTTAAAAAATGCGAGAAGGGTGCCCGCCCTGCCTGGTTACGACAATGGGGCACTCCCATCTTCACCTTTCTGATCCCTGCTTATTTTGCTTCAATTGTTTTAAGAATTATTTTTACTTTTTGAAGTTCTTCATTTTTATGATTTTNATTTGATAAAGTAACTTGTAAGTTCCAAACTACGGCATGATTCTAGTATTTTACAATCACTAACGAGAAAAATGATCACAAGAAAGATTATCATGAGCTTTGAGTTCAATTTAGTGCACGGTGCATATATATAAATGGTGGACCGAAGAGTCTTATAGATGATACTTGCATAAAATTAAGTAAAAATAGATAAAACCACTTCAAATTTTGCATGTGGAGCCTGAATCTCAACTTCTGTTTCGTGGGAGTCTCATATTCTTACTGCCATATTAGTTTTATCAGTCAGTCAACTTTTATTTGATCGGAGAACATCTTTTCCAACACCGGATCAAAGGGGTGTAAATTTTCTTTAGTAGACACAAAACATTATGATGTTCCACATAATGATATTGTCCAAGAACATTCATAAAGGCAGTACAGTAGCGTTGTAAAACGAAATAACACAGATAAGTAAAACATATTTGTAACCAAATTGAATAGGAGAAATAATAAAAGATCAACAGATTCGCAATTATACTAATTAATCCCCCTATCACGTAACACAAATCACACGTTTCGACAAAGCACAGTACTTTCAAAACCTGAAAATACCTCCCTTTCTCTACAAAGCAACAAAAAAACCAACTAAAAAGAAAAATCAACAACATATATAGTACCTCTTTAGCTGTTAACAAACGGATACTTGGCCTCAACAAAACTCTCCATATCCCACAAAAACGACCCGAACGCAACCGCCTCAAGCACAAGCATCGTGAGCCCCAAAACCCTTAACGAAACAGCCTCGTCATTAGAAGCATCCAAAGACCCATATTCACTCACCTTAATATCTGGCCTCCCGAACAACGCCTGTGTCTGCCTCTCGATTAAAGACACTGCTTCCCCTGACCTCATAGTCGCGTACCTTTGCAGTGTCTCCCCATCCAAATACGTCACGTACGATCTCAGCTTGTACGATTTTTTTTCTCCTTCATCCCTTACCCCCGCCACGTCATCATCATCCGGGTAGATCCGTATTAAAGAATCCGGGTCCCACAACTGCTTTTTTTCGGACAAAGGCTCGTCAAGTCTAAACGCCTGTTCTTCTTCTTCTTCTTCGCCAAAGCCCTCGGGAAGTGTGCCCATGGATCGTTCGAGTTGGTACCTCTCGTCGACTCTCCTGAGGAAGTACCCATACATGATCGAGGCCGCGTACAGTTTTCCGAGCTTGATTTTGCTGACGTGGACGATTGTGTCGAGGGGGCCCACGGCTTGCTCGCCAAGCACGAGTGCCAGGTGGCTCGTTATCATCTCGAATGCCTCGGGTGAGTGCACGGATTCGAGCTGATGTTCTTGGTTTGGCCAGAGGTCAATCCTTCTGGAAGGTTCGGTGGTTAGGGTTATTTTGGGGATCATGGATATTCGGTTGTCGAGGAATCTTTGTACGATTAGGCAATACATGATGTCCTCGAGCGTTTTGCGGCGTTCTTTCTCTTTCACTTTGGCTATTCTCCTGGTACGAGTATATTGATTGTCGGTGAAAATTTGGTAAAACTAACTGATAAGCTCTTAGCTGATAGGTGGTAATAAGCTAGCTTATTGCTTATAAGTGATTTTCAAGCTTATAGTTTATAGTTTATGACTTATAGCTTAAAAATTGGGTTATATGATAAAAGCGTTTGGCAAAATTAATTGATAAGCCAGCGGAAATAAAAATACGAGCTTATTTGAAAAGCTACCTAAAAAAGCTTATTAGATAAGCTCGAGCATTTTAAAAAAAGTTCGTCCTACCAAACAAAGCTTATTTGAATACAAGATGCTTATAAGCTAACTAAATAAGTTATAAGTTAGCTTATTTGGTTACCAAACATAGCCTAAGATACGAAACAGACCGCAGCAAAATAGTTTGGAAGGGTTTTGGATTTTTTTCTCCTTCCAAAGTAAAATAACTATAAGTATTTTTATATGTTACTTTTACCTTTGCAATTTCCCACTTTTTTCAGGGTTATCATAATCAGGTAAACACTTTAACACATTACAACAAAACTTCTCTCTGTGCAGGCTCTTAAGCATAGACTTGTGACGCTATTTCTAAGAACGGAAAAAGATACTAGTAAAAGTATGTATTTCCATACAGCACTATGTTTATTAATCAGATACAGAAGGAGCTTATATAATAACAGATCACTGACGACAAACAGCCTTTGTAAACTAGAATGAAGAAAGAAATATGGTACACATACAAAAGAAATGCCAGACAGAAATTTCGATTAATAGAGATCAGCAGAGTACGGAGACAAGTCATGGCCTCTAATAGCTATAATGTTATGCAAACAAAATATATATACTAAATTTAGTGACTGAACATCCTAGATGTTGAAGATATTGAAGATATTGAGAGAAAATAAAAGAAAACTTACTCATAGAGGAGGAAATCCTGGGCTGGTAATGCATTTGCCTCCTTTTGATCGTCCCTCTGACTTTGAAGATTCTCGAGCTGCTGTTCGGCAGATGCCAAAAGTAGATGTGGATGGGTTTGCTGAATTTGAGCCAAAAGCTCACCAACTGAGGACTCCAGCTTCAAAGGAGGTACTGTAATAAAATCACCGCTATAATTTCCAGAGGCTCTCACCATAAAACTTCTTGTTCTCAGCTTCTCTGACCCAACCTCTAACTTATGGTTTGGCGGAAATAAGCAATTCTAATTAATGATTACCAGTCAGTAAACAGAAAAGAAATGGGGAGTCTGAATCTGAATTTGAAATCAAACTGCATGTTTGCCATAACATTAACCACGAAAACCAAAACTTAAAAAAATACACGTTCGAAAACTCTGTTCATAAGCCACCATATTTGAAAACTGTCCATGCTGAAGCACAACACAACTTTTGATGATACAAAAAAAACATGAATGAAGCTGAAGCACAGGAGTAACATTCTTGATTCATGCAGGAAGCATAGAAAAAGGTTACAGCATCATGAACAAGTGTTATACAATTTCGATTTAGTAGATTATAGGATATTATGCTACAGAGTATCAGTACTTGTAAGACGACTATTGCTTCCATTCATGCAAACTTACAAACACCTTATATGCTTCTACAATCTTTTAAACCCGATGCTGTATGCATAAAAGAGCTTTACATTTCATTCGGTTTCACCAGTTTCAACCGGTTATCGATTCCCTTTTTTCCCCGCCCCTCTCTTCAATGGNAAAAAAAAAAAAAAAAAAATTGCCACTAGCAGAAAGCTGTACAATTCACATCCAAAACTAGATTCATTCCTTTTTCCCCAATTCCTTTCACACACAATTACTTCTATCCAAAGCACGAAACATATACTTGCCAATTTAGTATTTAATCTTATTTTATTGCGAGATTCATCTCCCAAGCTTACTGCAGCTAACGAAAATGGCAGACAGGAATAACAGCACACCAATAAACAACAACAACAACAAGATGGGCTCAAAAACGTTTCAAAACTTCACGCTCTAACAGCAAAAATAATAAAATTTAACAACGCGAGCGCTTACTTTAGGTAATCCTGGAGAGAGGAAGTGCTTGCCATCAAAGAACGAGGCGAAATGCTTCAGTTCCTGCGAGCGGCAACCGCCGGCCGACGTCAGAATCGCCGAGACATCCGGCAACACACCGGAAACTTGCATCACAGCTTGATTGCTAAATCAGTTGGTAATTTCTGGAAACTTTATATTCTATGGTTAAGGAATAATGGTTGGAGTGAGAGACGGAGCAGATTTTTTTTTGGTTTGTTCTTTTGTTTTCTAATTTGTCCTTTTTCCCCCTTTTCTTTTAATAAATTCCTTCCTCTCATTTGGAGTAACAAGTAGACTTGTAAGTTGTATTCGAATCCAATTAAACCAAATAGTTTTATATTTTCTACTTGCATTTGTAAAAGATATTTGCAATTTTGTATTCTGTTGTAAATCAATTGTGATATTGATTCATGTTCGTTTACGAGGCCTAAATGTGAATATATCTATTTGACTATGCATGTTCGTTTATATCTATTCAAGATTATTTTTCATTAGCTTTTTTTTTTTTCATCATGTTCTTTGCTGCAAATAAGCCAACACTTCAAATAACTGCAAACTCAGCTAAAGAAACACTGTAATTACATGACTAATTCGAAGTTATTTAAAGCCGAAAGACTTTGGCTTAGTCTCACAGTTTTTCAAAGCACAAAACTCCATGGACAGAGATTGATGATTCGAAGGCAGCTTAAATTAAAATTTATCTGTTGCAAAAGGGTATTATGAGGCCATGGATGGTTTCCTCTTTGTGTAGAATATGCTAAGCAAAAGAAAAAAAAGTTATGGAGAAGAGTATTGGCATTGAATATATGAAAACTTGGTAAAGTCTAAGTTGAATTGCTTGAGAGAAGTACATTTTGATCAAGGGCCAATATATACAATTTAAAGCTCTCTATGAAATCAAGATGGTTTTGCAATCAGCTAATAGCACAAGCCATCCGGATTTTGTAGTAATTGGCACGAAAAGATACACTCTTTTTTGTTATTATTTAAATTTGATTGCGCATGGAATTTTAAATTAAGGTTGAAGTTGCAATAACAATCATCCTTCCACCATCTTTTGCTACACAACTATTACAATAGGTTTCTAGAGTGCAGATCCCTTCTTTTTTCTACTATTTTCTTTATATATGTAAACATAGTCTATAGGCTTTTAACCATTGGATCAACATATCAGTATGAATATTGTGTGTGTAAATAGTGTGTATGATCGAGTGGTTATCATTTNAAAAAAAAAAAAAAAAAAAATATATTGTATGTATTGGTCCAACAGTTAAAAGCTTATCTCATAGTTAAAGTGAGCTATAATGTTCACGGAAAATATTGTAGTATATTTTTAGTTTGTGAATATAAAAAAGATGGCTTAAGGAAAATGAAGAAAATGAAACAAAATCAAAGTCGAAGCACGTAATAGTTACGTTCTCTTTAAGACGAAATTGCCCCGTAAAATACCCACGGTTAACGGCAAACGCCTCCAAGATACGACTTTCGACTTGTATATAGCGGTACTTCAAATATACAAGATTTCGGCAAACACTACTATTGTTCGGAACTCTCAAGACTCAATAAAAAAATCAAAGAACACAATATGCTATATGATCTTTGAAAAGTAATGCAGGAACTCTCTAATTTTCATAATATTAGTGATTTCAAGTATGTGGGTATTTATAGATGTAGGGAAACACCTCCAAGAGGTTTAAGTGTCAAACGACACCTTTTGGGACGTGCCCGAACGAGAACGAATGCATCTAGTGGCCAAAAGATACTTTATGGTCACTAAGGGTTGCGACACTTTGATTTCCGCAGCCAGTTGTGCGCCCGTGCGCCGTGGGCTTATACGAGCTCATACGGACTCGGAATCGAGTTTCGTTTTTTTTTACTTGTCCCCAACGAGCCCTTCTACAATTCTAGCATACATGATGCATAATTATGGGTCGTTTACTTCGTCCAAACATTTGTCAAAACAGAATATTTGTGAACCCTACAATCTTTGAGTTATTTAAACTCAATTAATTAACATATAACACTTAGAATTCATTTATCATTCACCTTAAAAAGGTTTTGAGAATTTCCTAAGTCTTCTACTTACGAAAAGTAGAATCATTAAATCGGTACAAAACCAATTTTTTCTTACAATCCCCCACATGAATGAAATTAATGCATGTATGCAATACTTGAGAGTTCCGGCGAACCGTCATTGCATTAGGATAGATAACTTGTGGCTTTGAATCTTCCTTAGTGAAATACTATCGGATACACTAGCCAGTTAGTAGCGTGATGTTTTGAACTTACTGGCTGTTTGTGTGCACCAAGACAATACTACTCACACAACAACAGCTCTAACAATTTCTTGTTCTCACGTTGTGTCCATTTCGGCCTTAGACCATATCTCGGTTTAGTAAGTGTTCGTTGAAGCGGCTTATTTACTTCTCACTTACAAAGGTGATTCTCCTATAAAGAGTATCCTGCCTTACTCCACTTGTAAGTAAAGGAATCATTAAAAGTCCTTGACTTAGCCTCACCACTTAGGCAGATTTTAACACTTGGAGGTTCTAGAAATGAGCAAAAATTTTCAAGTGTTTCACTGACCTGTCAAAACTTAGTTTTCCCATTGAACCAAGGTTTCGGGATCACCGATTCTCATGGTTGGGTTACCGCTAAGACCGTTCGGTTGTTGTGGATTTTTATTAAACTCATTCCCCTAACCAGTTTGTACAATTTATCTCATTTCTTGCTTTATGTAAACGGATCCATTAAGTTTATCTTTGACTTCACATAGTCAACCGATATAACCCTCACACGAGATAATTTTCTTAATGAAATTAAGTCTCTGACGTTTATGTCTAGACTTACTATTGTACAAACTACTTTGTGCTCTTCTAATTATTGATTGATAAATAATCATCTCCATGAACACAATTTATTCCACCTAGGAATATCTTTTAGAAAATTTCTAAGTCATTAGCTTCTTCCACGCCTTTAGTCCAAATTTATAAACTCGGACATCATTGTGGATCTAGCTTTATATTTAGATAAATTTCATGACACAACTCTACCCACCTAAAGTGAACACGTAGTCACTTTTTGTCTCAAAGTTTTACATGTCTAATGCTCTGTTCAACATGATCAATATTCATCGCTCGAGTTACTCGTGAACATCTTAGTTTGCTCGCGAGAATGCAACATTGGGACGAGTACTATCCGACAAGTACCTCAAGCCTCCAATTATTCAACATACTTTTTCCCGAGAAACTAATTACTCTCGAATTATTAGCTAAGTGTAGAGTCAATTATACATTCACTTTAGCTTGAGGTTTTATCGAACACATCGATCCTCTTCAACATACATTCGACATGATGAGATTGTGTCAAACAATTACTTCTGATCTATTAGAAACTTAATCTCCAAAATTACGTCGGAATTTCACAAACTTTAAATGTCAAAGTTTATCTTCTTGGTATTCATGAACACGTCATGATTATATTCCAAGATCATCGTATTGTCTACATAAGACATACGATCACAAAGAGTCAGAAGAACCTTCATAGACTCATTTTGTCATTCAATGAGAAAACCATTTGTCAAATTGTGTCAACAAACTTTTCATGTCATTAATTAGGTAGTTTTACCTTGGCTCAAACATCCCCACATTTCAAGGAATAAGTACGAATGCTTTTGCTCTTTTTATAACTCAAACGGAGTTTCGTATCTACCTTCATGTGGTGCTTTCCATGCCCAAACACCCCCACATTTTAAGGTATAGGTACGAATGTTTTTGCTTTTTTTATAACTCAAACGGAGTTTCGTATATACCTTCGTGTAGTGTTTGCAATATTGTCCAAATAAGTGTTTCTCACATAAGCATTTAGATTAATAAGAAATTGTCACCTACTCAAGAGTAATTATTCCTTTTGACTATGTCATTGAATATCAACATCATCATTATGACTTAAAGCTACAAAAGCTTTACGATAATACTTAGTGCATTCTTCTAATATATGTACTACTCTAGTTTGCACTAACTCTTAAATCACATTTATCGGCGTGATTTATCTTGAGATGACGAGTCAATTAAGCAACCATTTCATATGATGTTTTTGTCACTTTTTCATTTTAACACAATTTTCATACTTGTTGTATGAATCAATTCTAGATTCACCAACTTCTAGTGTTGAAATTCACAAGTTTCAATTTATCATGCCATAAATTAGAACACTCTATAAATAAGACTAACTTATTTATCTTTTCGTCAAACAATGATTTACAATTTTTACAATAATTGTAAGATGACCTTTATTAAGGCTACTTATGCTAAGAATACATCATATTTCGACATAACATATTTGTCGATAATTACAAACTAATCTAAGTTCGGCCTTACTCAATTAATGGTCCGAAAACTAGATTCTTATGGATGTCTTGGACATGAGAACATCTATGATCTCCAATATTAATTTTTAGCACACTACCTTGTCGTTCTCTTCAACACTTGAAGTCGAGGAGTTCCACAAATACTTCCTTCCGTAGTAGGGTTGTAGGACAACATTTATAAGTACCTATGGGACAAGTGGCTCTTGTTCTTATCCGCTATAAACATGAAATTTTAATCAAGTATGTACTCGAACCACGACGGAAAGATCGTGCTCTGACAAGTATTATCTTGTCCTCGACAATTCACACTATCCTTTACCCTTATTCAGAAGTTAGTTACCTTCGACAAGGTACCCAGATTAGTCACCATTGTAACAACATCCCTTGGATTTCTTGGCGTCCCATTCGGTTTGCCATGAAAAGCGTTTTAACGCTTCTTACACGAGCTCGGCTTGGCCAAGTTTGCCATAGCCTCTAGCTCACTCAATTTTACCAATACTTCGGATTTTTAATTATTTTATTTTATCCGAAGACCATCTATCAAATCTTCGAGTTTCATCTCTTTGCATCTATACATGAAATAACTCTTGAAGTCGTTTCCACAAAGGAGACAACTATTCAAACTTAGTCGCCACTTGAATGGCTTCGTTCACAATCATTCCCTCAACAACACATCATGAAGGATGATTTGAATCTCTTGAACTAGGCTAACCACCCGAATTGGTGTTAACCATCAAGTACTTTAGGAATTTACCGACAAGAAATTTCTTAATCTCGACTTCTTTCGTCTTGTACTTCACCTCCAAGGAATTCCATAACTCCTTGGTTGTCTTAACCGGGCTACACATTATAAAGTATGTTTTCTAGTCCGTTAAGTATTAGATTTCTACAATAGAAATCACTATGATGCCAAGCATCCAACACCATACATTTTTGGACGTTAGTCTCACTTTCGGGACGATCAATCTCCGAAAGTAAACAAGAGAGGGAGAGAGTTGTGAGGTAGTAAAACATCCTTTGTTGCCACCTCTTGAAAACATAGCCATTGAACTTCGGCGGTCTCTCGCCTTGAACATGAGTGACTACCCTCAATAGTTAGTAACTGGTGTAGCGGTCAGTTGATCACTTGAAGAAGACGTTTGGTTTCCTCCGGTTCCCATCTTATGAACTCACAAAATTTCGTCTTAAGATTGTAGTATATTTCTGGTTTGTGAATATAAAAAAGACGGCTTAAGGAGAATGAAGAAAACGAAACAAAATCAAAGTCGAGGCACGTAATAATTACGTTCTCCTTAAGACGAAATTTCCCCATAAAATACCCACGGTTAATGGCAAACGCCTCCAAGATACAACGACTTTCGACTTGTATATAGCGGTACTTCAAATATACAAGACTTCGGCGAACACTACTATTGTTTGGAACTCTCAAGACTCAATGAAAAAATCAAAGAACACAATATGCTATATGATCTTTGAAAAGTAATGCAGGAGCTCTCTAATTTTCATAT